AACAATTAAGAAGAGGAACTAGGATTTTGCATAAATTAGAATCACGAAACTCTGTTTTTCACGATAACACAGTCTTCTATTTATTCATCTTTCTTTCTCTTTGATTTCTTTGTCGCATTTTTTTTTATTTCAAAAGTTCTATTTTCTTGCATTTTCATCCCAATTTTTACAATATGAACATGTATATATTGTATTATATAACTCTTATGTGCTTATCGCGTAAGACAAGGTGTATTGGTAGGAAACATGGATGATTTTCCTCTCTTATTCTCATTTCGTAGTCACATTTTTGTCACATAACTGAATTTTGTTAAAGATTTAAAAATAAAGTAACAGAAGAGGGACATTGACACTTGCGTAGGGACCAAAGTGGGATTTGAGTAAAAGTGCAGGGAGTTGACTGTCACGATTTCATGTGTAGGGACTAAAGTGAGATTTGACCAGAAGTACAGGAGGTTGATTGTTATAATTTCATGTGGAGGGGTCAAAGTGAGATTTGGTGCAAAGTGTAGGGGTGCAAAGTGTAATTTACCCTAAACATATAAAGGGGCAAAGTGTAATTTACCCTATTTAAGAGCATCAATGACCACATTTTCTTGAGAAATTCTATTTTCACACACCACATTATTTCTGTGTACATCGTTTCTCACTCCACACACTTAGTAATTTGATTCTTAGGTATTTATCTCAATCCACACACCCCACATTCCAAATATACCCATTTAATAAAAAATGTGTGCACACCCTCATATTAGCCCACACAAATTCCCAAAATAGCCCTCCCTTCAGAACTTGGACACCCTGTTTCTTCAAGTGATTCAGATATGTATTTTTAACTTTGTGTGTGTGTGTGTTCAACTGTGTATTTTTGTATGCATGTATGTATTTGTTGATTGTATGATAATTAGGAATTGGGTTTTGCATATGGGCTTTAGTTTTGGATTTTGGGTTTCTTTAGCAAGTTACTACTTACTTTAGAGTTGAAGATTATTTGATTTGATTGTGTATGTTTGAGGCAAATGGAATAAATGGAATTTCTTTGCATGCAACATCAATGAAACAGTTATCAAGGAAACATGTATTGTCTTGCTCTTTGTTGGAATTGATAATCAAGTTTTTATGATGAAATTTTTTTGGGATGTGGGTATCTTATGGAATTTGGTTGAATCTATTAGTTGAAGAATGGCTGCAAAGACATATTAGATCCAGTGATTGGTTTGCTAGAAATACAATGATTTGCGAGTAAAAAAAAGAAAAAAGTTTTTTGTACTTACTGAAATGGTTATTGTCAGAGTTGTTGTGGTTCTTCCACAGCCATGGTTGTGAAAGCATCTGAATCACCTATTGAATAATCCCATGCAAGAAAAAAGTTTCATATGTGGCTTGAAATCTATGGATCTGTCAAACGACATGTTTTCCGGCGAAATATCGGCATCATTTGCCCAGCTCAAGAACTTGACCCTTCTCAATCTGTTTCGAAACAAGTTCCATGGTTCAATACCCGAGTTCACTGGTAATTTGTGAGATGAAGTAGCTGGTGAGATGGTAATGGGTGAGATGTATATGGAGAAACTATGAGATGTATGGGTGAAATGGTGATGGGTGAGATGGTAATTTTGTTAAAGGATAAAATTATGATTCTTAAAAATTCATTAAGTGTGTGGAATAAGGAAATTTAGTGTGTGGAAATAGAATTTCCCCATTTTCTTATCATATTTTATTTATTTTCTTATGTGTTAACACTATATTAGTAAGAAAAATGGTTCAACCCCCAAAATTTGCCCTCCAATTTCACCCCTATAGACGAGAGAGTGTGAAACCACTTTACACGGTTTTTAGCCATGTTATTGGGGGTGGAATTGAGAGATCTCAATTAGAGGATGTAGCACCGCTCATATTAGTAATAAGCATGGGTAGTGATACTCATTAAACTAATATGATATTTACCCATAAAGTAATAAACAAATTATGGTAAGAAAAAATGGTAATCATAACATTATTATTTTAAGAATTCTTGAGTTATGGATTAAGTGTTCATTGAAGTGGAGTGATGTGGGTGTTCAACAAAGCCGACTTTAGCCGAAAGCTGACAAAGCTGCCATTTTGTAACTCTGAAAAATGATTAAACAAAAATGTTTTGGAGTTATAATTTGCGAGTTCTAATAACTTTAATGTGTATGTGAGGCCTATTTGATGTGATATGTTGGCCTTGTTTTGTTTGTTTGTTTGTTTGTTTGTTTTTTTTTTTTTCACCTCACTAGAGCTCAACTAGAGCTCTAGTTTTAGGGGATGTATCATTGTTGATGATTAAAACAAAGGGCCCCAAAAATTAATTTATTTAGTACATTCTTAAATTTGTTAGTTTTTCTAGCTTTTATAATAAGTGATTAAAGTTGATGTTTTTGACGAAAAATCACTAATTCCAAATAACCTCTATTTTTTTTTTTTTATAAAGAAAATAGCCTTATAAGCAAATTTATAAAGGTGCCAAAAAAAACTTCAAATCAAATTTTCTTATGCTAAACAGCTATTAAAAAAAAGTATAAAAAATAAAAATATATCAAATAAATTAATTTTTTAAAAGCTTATTTTTAACCAATAAATTATTAATTTTTTGGCTAACTCTCAAAGATGCCTTATATCAAAACAAAAACAAAAAAAAATTGATCTTAAATTTTTTGTGACGGCATGAAGTATCAATTTTTGAAAGAAGAAACACAATATTGAGAATAACATTCATACCATCTTACATGAATAACAAATGGAATTATGCCTATTATATCCAATATTTACTAAAATTTTAGAACAACGTGGTCTTAAATTATCTCCAGGGTAAATTTGATTTCAGCATTTAGTTGTGTTAATTTGAAGAGACAAAAGAAATAAAGAAAGAAAAAGAAGAAGAAATGAAATAGAAACTTCTTTTTTTTTTCTTTCCCATTTTCTCTTATCTTTTCCTTCATCTCCACAAATTTCTTTCAAATTCTTAATTCGAATAAAATCTTAAATATCAACAATTAAAGCGTTACAATTGTTTTAGTGGATAAAGACTTAGATGATCACAATCATGAGCTAAGTTCGAACCCAACAACCTTCTTGCTCACGCTATGAGATGTATATAATGTTTTGAGATGTATTTAAAAGGCAGCAGTTTTTCTCTAGTTTGACATTGAACTAGAAAGGTTCAATTCGGTCCACTATGAATCTATCTCAAACCCATCTCAATAATCTAAATTGTTCATCTTATAGAGCCCGTCAAGCACATTATTCATACTAAAAATCAAAGGCGGCCTTGACATAGGCTCACAATAGACTGGACTGAACCTTTCTGATCTGATGAAGGACCGGAGAGAAGTTGATTTTTCTTTTTAAAAAAATAGAAGTGTCAACAATTTATTCTAGAGACAACTTTTAAGTCACTTCATTGTCTAAGACTTGCTGAAAAATTTAAAAATAAAAAATAAAAAGTTTAATAGCAAAAGCCTCAATTGTCTATAAGGAAATAGGTTCCATTAGTATATTCATAATTTTTTTCTCTATAATTTATTTATTTTTATACCCTCTCTCAAAGCTGCAAAGGCCCATCTCCTGAAGGCCCTTGTCGTTAGGGACCAAGTTTGTTTTTAACTATTTCTACTGACAAATGCTTGAAAGTTTAGTTACCAAAACTCCTAATTTATTGGATGCCATTTTTTTTTTCCATTTATTTATCACAAGGTGTTTCCTTTTTATTAATTGTTGCTTTTTTTTTTCTTTCTCTCTAGATACACGCAATTCCCTCTTCAACAATTCCCTCTCCAACATATATCAGACAATTACAAGGCATATATCTTCACTGGTAATCCTCTGTGGTCTCAATAGTTAGTAGAAGTAATTAAAAAATTAATCAAATAATAAAGATTGAAACCGAAATAGAGGGAGTCCATCTCCAAGTAATCCTAGTTATGGGGAGACTTCAAAAGAGGATAACAGAAGAAAACTTAAAGCGAAACTTCATGACTTGAAGAATGCTAGAAGGAAATTCTGAATCCTTGTTTTGTTGGAGTAGTTTATTTTGATGGAGTAGTTTATTTTGATTATTTTTGTGCTCCCATCAAAAGCTGTGTATTGAATTTCATTGTATATCTTTCTTTTTTGGTTATAATATGACTTACTTATTCAAAAAAAAAAAAAAAAGATTGAAACCAAATCACATTAAATTTAATCACACAATACACTATTTTCTAGATACATTTCCATTGTCAAATGTAATCATAAACCCTCTTTTTTCCTGCAATTTTAGTTAAATCAAGGAACATTATTTATTTATTTTCATTCTAGCTAATGGGTTGAGAAAAAAACAATCAACCATCAAAAATCACATATGATACAAATATCCAAACACAACATAAATCTATGGATTGTACAATACTCCGCCACAGAAAGAGCTACTAAACACTTACATGAATGGAGTCTACACAATAGTAGGAATCACACACCCCTATGAGGGTTTTGGGCCACTTCCTATGGCTGAGATATGCAATTCCCATCATTTCTTGTTCCACGGAAGTTGACATTCAAAAACAGTAGTCGGCGTATCCTGCAACATGGAGGCCCATGTTGAGCAATAATGTCAATCATAAATGTCAGGATATATAATTGCCAATGTATGACAAATTGGACAAAGGGTTTGCAATTTTTATTCCATAAATTGATGAAGACCGCCTCAATTTTCTCATGTCATATTTTAATTCTACAGGAAGTCAAACATTTTCATGAATCTTATTTAACAAAACTAATAAAAGTCCAGTAAGTTGACTTGTTAGATAAAAAAATTAGCCAAAGCCTATTTATATTGCTCAATTCATGCCTGAGACCCCACCAAATGCATTCAATTTAGCCAAATCAATTTCAAATCATTATAACAGCTTGCATTCTAATTAAATAATTTGATTAGTCAAGACGGTTGTTAGTTCCTGGAAAGAGCCCTATTTGCTAAGCTGTCAAAGAAATATGCAAAGGCAAGTTTCAAAAAGCCCCAAGTTTACGTACTCAGCTGCAGCACCTAAAAACCAGTTCAGATCTCCATTTCCTCCTAGTTATCCCTTCAAACAACACAAAAAGGCTATACTGCAAAGAAACACACAAAAGAGAGAATGGCAGAGACTGCTGTGTTCAATCTATTAGCCAACTTTTCACTCTTCTTTCAGCGAGAGGTGAATTTGTTGAGCGGGGTTCGGGAAGAGATTGAGTACATTAGGGATGAATTCGAGCGCATGATGGCTTTCCTCAGAGTTGCTGACTCTATGGAAGAAAATGACTTGGAACTCAAAGTTTGGGTCAAACAAGTTCGAGATGCTGCATACGACACTGAAGATGTTCTTGACAAATTCAAGCTTAACTTCGCACACAATTATGGCACCGGATTCCGTGGTTTTGTTCGTAAGATTTCTTTCTCCATCAAGACTTTAAAAGCTCGCTACCAAATTGCTTATGAAGTGCAAAGAATTAAGAACAGGGTCATCAATATTTCCATGGGACATCAGAGGTACCATGATAGATATGGTATACTGGAGCTAGGCTCAAGGTCCATTGGTGATAACAACGCATGGTACGATTGTCGTGGAGATGCGCTTCTACATGAAGAAGCTGAGCTTGTGGGCATCGAGAAGCCCAAAACAAAACTGATTGGGTGGTTGGTGGAGGGAGATCCTAGACTCAAAGTGATTTCAGTAGTGGGAATGGGAGGATTGGGCAAAACCACTGTCGTTAAAAAGGTCTATGATGATGCAGCAATAAAGAAGCATTTCCAGATTCGGGCTTGGATCACAGTTTCAGAATCATTCAAGATTGAAAAGCTCTTGAAAGACATGATTCACCAGCTCTTTAAAGAAGTCAAGCAACCTGTCCCACAAGGAGTGAAAACCATGGATTGGAACAGCCTAAAAGGAATAATAAATGCCTTCCTACGGCAAAAGAGGTACGTGCTTGTTTTTGATGATGTATGGAATATTCAAGCATGGCAAGCTTTTAGATATACATTCCCTGAGTGCAACTGTGGAAGCCGAGTAATGCTCACAACAAGAAATGCTGATTTAGCCTTATTCTCTAGTAGAGAATATAATGGCTATGTCTATGATCTCCAGCCCCTCTCTCCCCAAGAGTCCTGGGCCTTGTTTTGCAAAAAGACGTTTCAGGAGAACTATTGCCCCTCACATTTGGAAGGTCTTTTGACAAGCATCTTGAGAAGATGCGAGGGATTGCCGCTTGCAATAGTGGCTATCAGTGGTCTTTTATCGGTGAAGGACCAGAGCAGCGTAGCAGAGT